ATAGGGCTGGCTATGCAGCCAACATCATACACAAGGGCCCAGTCATGCTGGCCTGTTGGTAGGTGGAGTAGATAGCATGCATCATCTCTACCATGATTATAAGTATCACAGCTCATATCAACAGTTTGGGCACATATACCCTTCCTAGGCCAGGCAAAGCCAGTACACCTACCCTTCAATACTCGAGGAGAACAACTTGAGGTACAATCAGGCTTATCCTCTGCTGGGTCACAGTTGTTGGTAGCAGCATCCACCGCTTCTTCCTCCTTGTTTCTGCTAGCTTCTACTTGATGGACCTCCCTCACAGCGAATGTGCATCTATCACAGTATTGAGGCTTATGAGCCAGCTTATAGCACTTATCACACCAAGAGCGGCACATACACTTCCTACGAGGTATGTCCATTATCCTACTACGACATACCGAGCATCTAGCTGCATATCTATATACATACATATCCATCTCATACATGGTCAACAGTTGCCATACAGATCCACCTAATTCCACCTCTGGACTATTCAATGACTCATTCATACCATCAAAGAAATCATACAGTGACGGTGATAGGTGTTTGGTAGCTCTAGCAGCGGCAGTTGCTATAGCATGCCATTTGTCTACCAGCTCGAGGGATGTCCATACCTCTAAGTCATCTTGGAAGGCCTTCTTACTCCTTTTACCAACACCAAGTGACAGATTCTTCCCTAACTCGTAAAAGGTATCACCATGTATTTGGAATAATCTCTCATGCTCATTATCAACTGCTATCTTGCCGCTAGTTGAATGATGATGAGCATTGGATATTGACGATGACGATGGGGGTGGTGTGGCTGTATAAACTACCGAGGCAGGGTGTATGTCCCTGGATGGTGAGGGCATAAGGAAATGGAAAAACAACAATAACTCACATTAGGTTACCACAAGATGGTCTCCAAACGCAAAGCCATGATGGTAGTGAATGTTACGTTAGGGATAGAGAAACACACAATACCCACAGACTACTATCCATTCAACAATACTGGGGGAGAGGAGGAGCAAGAAAAAGAGCTACACCAAACGTGTACTGCTCGTAGGCGTTGTCGTTGTTGTCTTCACCGGACACGTGGACTGTACTCTAATACGGAGAAGCACGATACTGTTGTTGTGGTGGCAATTGGCCAGGATAGGGTTGTTGTTGCTGTTGCTGATAGGGTACCCGAGAGTACTGCTGCTGTGGGTACATACCTTGAGTGTAAGGCGTATCATACCTAGCAAGATAGATCAATGTGTCGATAGTCAAGACTACTACTACTACCTTCCACCACCACCACCACCACGGCTAAAGGACCCTCCTTCCCTTCTAAACTGACCGTACTGAGGCCCTGGTGATTGGTATCTACTACAAATATTGCTGCTACTAGTATGGTAACCCTTACTGGTATTGCCGAGTATTATCATAAGCCTCCCTCGTTGGGTACTCTCCTCTCGAAGGCCTTCCTCCTGGGCCACAAACCGCCGGATCTCTAGTGGCAGGTTTCACATCGAACTGAACATGATGATGATGAGATAGAGATACTCCTTACAGCCCTGTTACTACTACTACTACCCATTGGCCATCAATAGAGTTGTTGCTGCCACCATTACACGCTGCTTGGGCCTCTTCTGGTGTACTATAGGTGCAGTAGGCAAAGCCTCTAGGACGGGCAGTAACACGATCGGTCATGATGATACAGTCTATAATTCTACCATACTGTGACATAACCTCTTGTAATCGGCCTGCCAGCAGCTGATGTTAAGGACCGTACCCCACTGTACACGAGTATTACCATTATCAACAGAAGCAGGCACTCCCCCAATGAAGACCTTAGATGGATTGTCCCCACCGACAGCACTACTACCATTAGGGGACGAGGCTACAAACGTCGATGATGGACGCCTACGATTGTTGGCATAACTTCGTAGGGGCCTGAGGTACTACTCATTGAGGACTCTACTACCATTATACTGCACTACCCAGATGGGATATCCATTGCCACACCACTACCCCCTGCACGGTGAGAGGGTAGAGGGGAGAACCTGAATACAATGATACACATGGATGCGTTACATATGCGCTATAGCAAGAGAGCGAAAAGCCTATGATAACCACCATGAGAAGCTAAGAGGATATCACTACTGCCAGAAGTGTATTAGTCGCCTACACTATGCTACTCCTATGAATACTAAGAGTGAGGTACCTACCCTGGGGGAGGACCAGACGACGACGACGACGATGATGCACGGAAACCCGATCCTGGTGCACTTGAACCTCGAGTAGCTATCTTTACATCAACCTAGACTATGACCATGAAGAAGCTGCTGAGTGATGGAGAGAGAGAGAGAGAGCATAGCCTAGTTCACGATACCACCAATGCTATGTCTACTGTACGCAGCCATGACGGCCAGGACTACTCACTAATAGTATCAGAGTTATCCTCCTCATACTACTACAGTTGAGTATGATGACTATTACTCTGAGTACTGAGTTCTGAGTTCATTACTACTACCCATTTGCCATCGAGTATATTCGCATCCCCAGCATTGATAGCAGTCTGTGCTTCCTCAGGGGTAGAGTAGGTAACATAGGCAAATCCTCTAGGTTTGCCGGTAATCCTATCCTTCATTACCACTGAATCTACTATATTCCCATACTGGGAGAAGAATTGGTCGAGTCGACCTGAACAATAGATGCTTCCAAATGCACCTCGATACGATGGTAGTACCTTGGTCCAAGTCCGATGGTATACCACCAATGAACAGCTTGCATGGGTTGTAACCATCAGAAGGAGATGCGAACGATATACCATCACCAACAGGAGGAGCACTATATTTACTAGAGTAACCCCCCTCATACATGTAGTCACCGCCCTTACCCTTACCCATGGGAGGGTATCTAGTCATCATAATGAGCTCTTGCGAGGAATGGTAGTAGTAGTACGTTACCTCCTGTCCCCTCCTCCTGATATACGACCCCCACTCTGAGGATGGGACCCACCAGCCCCCTCTATCATTGCTCTCTTGACATCAATCATCTTATCCATTAACACATGTGGACCACTCCCCAGACAACACTGCATACACGTGGCAATGCTGATATCACCATACATTACTAGTAGTATTACCTCAGTAGCTTCAAGAGTGGTATAGGTGACGAAGCCAAAGCCTCTAGTCCTGCCAGTAAGCCTATCAGTCATTACTATAGAATCCTCTAATACACCATACTGCCCAAAATAGGCATCAAACTCCTCTCTACCACACCCTGCTGGTAGACCTCCCACAAATAACTACAGGGACAAGGACGACGTAAATACCAACTATTACTATACCCTATCAGTACCTTGCGCTCTTGCCTATCCGATCCATCCCCCATAGTAGGCTGTAGTGGAGCTGCTGAGGCATCGAGGCCAAGAGGAGGAGCAGGTGCCCTCCCCCGTATAGTGTTGGCTCCCATTGTCGGCGCCGTGAATGGTTCTTGTTGATAGGACGCCATACAAGAGAATGATGAAGGAGTCTGCAGGAGGACTATGGCTCATGGGGGTCCGTTTCTATTGTAGCCATAACACGGATACCACAACGATGGTGATGATGATGATCGCAATGATGATGATGATGATGATGATGTTTACAAATGGTTACGGCCGCGACACTAACGTCGTCGTCAAATGTAGGCGGCGGCACGACGAGGCATCATGGGGTAGTACGACGAAAACACTCACGGGTGCTGATGGTAACACTCTATGGTCACAACAACGTTAGCAACGACGATGACAACAACGACGACAACAACAATGATGATCATGATGATGGCAATAACAGTCAATGAACGGAAACGGTCGACTACTTCTACACAACAAGAAAGAAGGAGGATGAGGAGGAGGATAGCAAATGCACCATAGGACGATGATTGGTAGAGAAC